GCCCTGGCGGCTTAGAGGTCGATGACCGCGACACAAGTCAAGAAGCCCAACTTGTGAAGTTTGCTGCGGAACACTTGCTCAGTCAGCAGGTACGGTCGCAGACAAGGGCACAAAATATCATCGATTGTTTTACTAATAATGAAAGAATGGTGGTTGACGTCCGGGTTGAAGAAACTTCACTGTCCGACCTTCGTCTGGTGAGGGTGGATACGACGATTGGAACTGATACCCAGCCCAGGGCTATACCCCAAAAGCGACTAGAAGGACTTAACTTTCATAATCGAAGAACGGATAGGAAGGCAATATAGAATGAACTTGACGAAACTGACTGCAGAGAAGAGTTTCACGAGATAAATGCAGAGAAAATTTATACTAAACGATGTGAGAAATTTGCACAGGTATGTGTGAGTCATATACGAGAAAAACGACCCAAAGTCCACAGCATTCCGGGAGACCGACGAATCCTCATGAGAAAACGAAAGCGATTAAACAAATAAATTGCTGAATCCACTACTGACCTGATGAGACAGAAACTAGTAGAGCTCCACAAGGAAACTGAAGGTTGTTTGCAGAACTCGCACAGGATGGACAAACAAGCTGCCGAGGAACGCGAAGTTGAGTTCATAAGAGAGAACCCCGAATATTTTTTTCAAACACGCCCAGTCCAATGATAAAATAAAGACGCCAGTGGGCCCGCAGAAGGATAACGATGTTCTTGTCGGAGATGACCATGGCATGTGTGAGTGACTGGGATCGCAGTTTGAATCAGTGTTCAGTAATCCCCTCTAAATTGGTGGGGACTTCAATCTCCCAAGAATCCGTTGGACAAGCCAGAATGAATGAATGAATGAGGAGAATGAGGAGAATGCAATTGAAGTTCTCCAGGAGCTGCCAAGTGGAAGAGGGTTGGAGAACATTGAGTTTTGACCAGCAGATATGGCAATAAGAATTAAAGGACTGGTGACGGCAGTGCTGTTGAAGAAGTGTGTTGAAGCAGTGAAGGCCCCGCTCAAAATGCTCTGGAAAGCCTCGATAACAGAGGGAATTATTCCTGAGGGCCTTAAAGTGAGACTAATTACGCCAATACGCAATGGATATCCGAGGGACAGACCCCAAAATTACAGACCTGTGACCTTGACCTCACATATGGTCAAAGTTTTTGATATGGTAGTGGTCAGGAGGCTCGTCCAGTATATGGAAGATGCTGAACTGTACAACATGGTTTCCGGCAAAATCATTCCTGTTTGTCACAGTTTTTGGAGCACCATCACCGTCTTGAGGCCTTACTAGAGGAGGAAGCTGGCATGGAAGTAGCATACCTGGCTTGCTAGACCTTTTGGCAAAGTTGACCATATGGTGCTCTTCAGAAATCTGAGGCTGTTGGGAGTAGGAAGAAGCCTGTTAGGGAAGATCTAAAATTTCTTTACAAATAGAGTGCCAGCTGTCGTAATTGGAAACTCTAAATCGAGAGAAGCTAGGATGAAAAGCGGAGTTACTGGGACGGGCTGAAACACCTGGGACTGTACTCATTGGAGAGGAGAAGAGAAAGGTATATCATACTGTACACTTGGAAAATGATAACCGAACTGGCTCCCAACTTTGGAAGTGAGATCTCCGTAATAGTGATATATTACAACGAAGGGAGGGGGAAACTGTGCAGGATTCCCTATTCAATAAGCGAGCCGCGGCCAGAGTACAGATAAGATCCCGGACTGTCCAGTAATGGGAAACTACCCTCAGCAAGCGACAAGCAACTGCATCTTGCATCAGCGTGCCCAAAGGAGGGCAAATAGACGGAACACATCCAATGTTATATCTCGGACCCGAGGGCGGGGTGACCTGCCTAGTGACGACTCGGAGACGGAGGACGGCGAAGGCGGCGCATCAGCTTGACCGGGGACAACGACGTCCTAAACTCATCATAAGGTCATAAGGTCATACGCCACAGATACGCCACATATACGCCACACATAAGCCACATATGCCACATATACGAAACATATATGCCAGATATATGCCACACATATGCCACAACAAAATTTTTGCTGCCAACAGAAGATTTTCAACAGCAAACCATACAAGATGTCTCATCTCACTGGATATCTCATAACAGAACAATAATTGTAACCGAAAACAATAAATGCTGTCACATGGACGACATAGTTAACAGGATGTCTGTTTGTGATGGCAGTGCCTGTTGTCTGATGCTAACAGGACTGGTGCACCTGACCTGTTAACAGCATCCCTGTTGGTTCACTTGACCAATTAACATTATTCTCCTGTTAACAGGACTGGTTCACCTGACCTGTTAACAGTATTCCTGTTCTCCTGTTAACAGGACTGGTTCACCTGACCTGTTAACAGTATCCCTGATGGTTCACTTGGCTTATTAACAGTATTCCCCTGTTAACAGGACTGGTTCAGCGTACGTGAAGCGGGCCAGCACCGTAGCCACGACCGCTACCTCTTCCTGTTCAGGGCGCGCGTCCTGTTGACCAAAGTTAAACGCATCGCCGGCAACAGAAGCGTCTTTCTGTTGCGCCACGTCATCAGGGTGAGTCAACTTACCCATCTTATTCACCCTACTAGCCTTAGTCGCCTTACTAGCCATACTCACCATAAGAACCTTACTAGCCTTACGAACCTTACTAGTCTTACGAACCTTACTAGCTTTATAAGCCTTACTCTCCATACGAACCTTACTCACCTTACTCACCATACGAACCTTTCTCACCTTATTCGCCGTATTCACCTTATATACTCACCATACTCACTTTACTCACCATACTCCCCATACTCACTGTAGTCAATTGCACCACCACCCTCTTATATTGCACCATCACCTTAATTACTGAAACAATATAACTTATTAATTTAAGAGGGGAGGTCTACCCTAAAATTTTCGGATTTGGCTTTTCTGGCATTTAGTATCGTCTTAAAGCTGACATTCTGCCCTATCCAATGATACCACTGCGGTCCCTGTACGTGAATTTTTACGTACACGGCTGCGCTTTAAAGGGGGGCTGGGGGTAGATTTCCTTCACAGAATAGATGGCAGGTAATTGACTCGCTAAGACTACATATATTGGTGTATCTGGCATCAAGCCTTAGTCACCCTGTTCGCTTCGTACGGAGAGGTGTACTGCAAGTCGCTGCTAGCATCCCTGAGTGGAATTAGGCTACAGAAGCCTGTAGTTTGGTCTCTATGCTACATTGAGTGACTATTTCAAGGCGCGCGGAACTTTGTCGCGCCGTCCTGAAAAGTTCAACTTTTTGTCACGGAAAACCTATCTCCTCCTAGAGTTTTAAAGCTACAGCAATGAAAAATATACCATTCTATTCGTAAAGACCATACCTATCGAGTAACGAAGCCCTTTTTTTAGATTTGCGCATAGTTTGGATTCAAAATTGGGGAAGGGGGGGAAATGAGAAAAAATGAAAAAAAAATTTTCAAATGCTTAAAAAAACTAAGGCAAAAATAAAAAATCGAGCTTCGTTACTCGATTGGCATGGTCTTTACAAATAGAATAGTATATGTCTCATCGCTGTAGCTTCAAAATCCTAGGAGGAGATAGATTTCTACAGTATCCCCTTTTTTGTCCCCTTTCTATGAATTTCACGTTTTCTATAAATTTTTCTGAAAAAATCACACGAACAAAAATGTCTTAGAATTCTGTTTTACATATGTGTACTAAGTTTCAGATTGATCCGTCCGTAAACAAAAAAGTTTTTCCGGAGGGTATACCTCCCCCATATGTGAGTGATTCTCTTTGTCGGAATATTTTTTGAACCCTTCATTATACCATGAGTTTATTTTTATTCATAATTTTTCTTGTAAGTTATTTTATTTATTATTATTTATTTAATTTTTGACATGCTTTTTTCAGCTTCGGTTGACGACCTCCTTTTCGACGACGACATTCGCATCGTCTCTGAGGACGGCGACGAGGTAGACGAGCGCGGTCACGCCATCACCCCAGCTCCTGACGACCAAGATCTATCAGTAGATGACAAAGATCTACCGTTAGACGACAAGGACCTACCAGTAGATGACCAAAACCTACCAGTAGATCAACTTGTCCCCACCGTAAACGAAGATCTACTTCCCAAAGAAGACATACCAATTGAGGTAGAATTCGTTCCCAAGGCACGACGTATACCCATTGAGGTAGAAGAGGTAGAAAAAGTAGAACAAGATCACGTTGTTCCACAAGACCAAAAACTCGCGAGGACAAAAGGCGAAGAAGAAAGCTCCCCTCTACCCCAACGCAAAAAGGCTAAGGCCGATCTACTCGAACAAGTAGAAACATTCGACTCAATCTACCAGGAAGGTGGACAGTATTCTACCGTCTACTCTGAAGAGACAGTAGAATCATCATCTGTTTACCGTCGATCATCTACCACCTTCAAGTCCCAAACATCCATAGTTGAATCTACTTCAGGGTTCCAAAAATCTACCTCTACTTTCGGGTCGAAAGTAGATGACCAGGTAGACGAGAGTTACCGACAAGTAGAGATCGTGAAGACCACTCAGGCAGACAACGACTATCAGTTATCAGGCGGTTATCAGTTATCGGTGAGCAGTGATAAATCTAGTGATAAATCCGACGGGAAAATCCGTGATCAGCAACAACAGCAACAAGAACAGCAGGATCAGGTAAGAGAATTTTTTTCTTTATAAACAAAGAACGTCGCACTCTTTTTTTTTCTTTGCATTTGCATGGTTTGGATGTTTTTTGTCAGTTTTTTTATTGTTTAATTTTTTTCGAAGTTTTATAATTTTTTCTTCATTTGGGTTTATTTTCTTCATCCAATGCCTTTGGTTAGTTTTCAATTTTTTGGTAAACAACTTAAATTATTTTAATTAACTTTCGTATGCGTTTATGAAACTGTGCAATCGCCTCTGTAGCGCCCCATACACCCGCGAGTCCGGCTAGTGACTCCTGACTCGCGAGTCCGGCTAGTGACTCCTGACTCTGTCTCTTATACACATCTAGATGTGTATAAGAGACAGGCTAAATCTTGCTAAATCTTGCAAGATCTTGCTAAATCTTGCAAGATCTTGTTAAATCTTGCAAGATCTTGCTAAATCTTGCAAGATCTTGCTAAATCTTGCAAGATCTTGCTAAATCTTGCAAGATCTTGCAAGATCTTGCTAAATCTTNGGCAACCTCTTCAAGCTCGGCCGCCTCATTCGCCACGTGAGTCGCCACATATGCCACATATACGCCACATATGCCACATATTGCCTCCATAGAGGGATACCGGGGCAACCTCTTCAAGCTCGGCCGCCTCATACGCCACGTGAGTCGCCACATATGCCACATATACGCCACATATGCCACATATTGCCTCGATAGAGGGATACCGGGGCAACCTCTTCAAGCTCGGGCGCCTCATACGCCACGTGAGTCGCCACATATGCCACATATACGCCACATATTGCCTCCATAGAGGGATACAGGGGCAACCTCTTCAAGCTCGGACGCCTCATACGCCACGTGAGTCGCCATATATGCCACATATATGCCACGTATATGTCCATCATATATAAGCCACACATGTGTCACATGTACGCCGCACACGCCACGCGTATGCCACATATCGCCTCCACAGAAGGCTACATCGCATCTATGAAAAGAT